TCACTGTAGCCTCTTCTTCTTCTTTCTCTTTTCTCCGGCTCTTGAGATCCTTGAAACCACGCAGAGAGTTTAAATAAAAGTTTGAGTCCTTCTAAAGCTTTTCCTAACTGGCGTACAACAGTGCGCTGGGACTACTACATTCTTACCTAGTATTAGAGGGCTCTGTAGCCATCCTACTAAGCAAGACAGAAAGGTGAGGACTACTGTCTCCAGCCTACCAGAGGAATACAGGGAAAGCGTGCTCTATACGGTCCAGGTTGGTCAAGTCTTCCAAGATAAGTCTGGAGCATGACTACTTAATGTGTTGCAGAGCATGGCGTGCCGCTATCGTAGTTTATTCGAGTATTTTAGCTGCTCAAATCCTGGTACTAAATACAAAGCATATCTTCCTCTGAGATACGCGTAGGCAACCTAATATCTCAAGGTACAGGTGATCTACACCCACTAGGCTCGGCCTGTGCATAGTCGAGGTCTCGGAAGTACTATCGGCCCCCATTAGGTCTATTTTATACTGGTACAACATCTTTATTACCATCACATTCGGTCAAAGGGAATACTATCTCAGTGGCGTTAATTGCAATGATTCGTGCCAAAGTACTCAGATGTCACTGCGCTTGTCAGTAAGGCCTTTTAAATATCTCCGGCATGTGCATATTCAGTACCCTTTCATCGAAAGTGGACTAAGCTATGTATGCCATACTCAATACGCCTAATAGCTTCAGACTGTGTAAATGCGACATTGAAAGAAGGTCCTTCTTGATCCGAGCCGCTACTAGGTTTCAATTCCAGTCCGCCTTATATAGAATATTTTTCCCGGTTAGAAATATCGAAACCTATCTTAAGACAAATATGGAAAGTCGTGCGAAAAGAAGTAGACAGGGGTCAGTCCATGATAGTAAATTAAAAAACGGGGTAACAAGCAAGATAATATGAGATTATAAGTGCTTATGGTTACGATTAATATTTATCCAATTAGATTCAATTCTTAGAAATACCCCTAAAAGCGACTGGTCTATGTCCCACTACCATCAATTTGATACTACGGGATGGCCAAAGCAGTCTTGTGAGATAAGCACAAGAGAATTTGGCAGCCTTATAAGAGGGCCTAGATGAGACCATCGTTGGTTTCTCCCACCTTTTTCACATAGCTGCAAATTGTCATTATCAGCTATAGCGTAGGCAGGTTGGAGTACAACTACCCCACCGCTGAGGTCCAATCGACCTAGGCAAACGTCTCTTCTCAGTTTAGAGAAATGCGGCCGACATCTTTATGAAAGGAGAGGGGACTACATACCAGGAAATGAGGTGTAAGGGGGTCAATTAGGGCTTAACGATATTCTCACCATAGGCAGGAAATCAAGCTTCCTTAGTCGCTTGAACTAATGATGAGCTGCTATTCATTAGCATACTGTTTGCACGGCATGTGATTCTGCCACTCACCACAGTCCATAGCTTTGGTAGAATCTCTCCCCTTCAACAATCTCACTCCTCATCCCTCTCACACATCGTGCAACTGCCCCTACCGTAGCTGCATCCCATCACATACCATAGAAATTTACCCCAACTAGAAACCAAGGTTTTATTTCTTTTCATCTGACCCAAGTACTGTGTCATCTAGCTAAACAAGTCCCAGGAAAACTCTTCCTCCGTTTCTGAATGTCTGCAGAAACGCACTAAATCACTGCACTACACAAGAGAAAAGTTATTATTATCTTAAACGTCTAGTAGAATGAGCAGCTCTCGTGAGACCACAGGGGAATATAGCAAGAAGCATTGATGTGAAACTAAAAGATCGTATCTCAACCCCTCTACGCACAATTAGACTCATTTTAGTAAACTAATTCGCATCTCAACCAGGGATTGCTCATGGCGTAAGATTCCCATTGCTAGGTGACTAGATGTCAACCCCAGAAAGATGAAACATTGTACTCCAACTATCAATCGAACGTGTGAGAACGTCTAAAGAAGTGTAGAACATACTCAAGTATATATGGGCGTTCAGGTGTTGTACCCTAGAAAACAGTAGTTAAAGTGAGGAGTCCGCTTGTCTGACCGGACTATAAATTATAGGTATGGCTGTCTGGCTATCTACGATTACACAGGGGCCACCTGCTTGAACAAAGAACTGAAAATTCTCCTGTAACCCATGACATCCTATAACCCATTACATGTTACGAGTTAGCGGGAGTTAGCGGACTTGGATTGCGGACTTGGATTGCGGACTTGGATTTCTTCTGCAGAAGAAATCAGTATCGGAAGGGAGATACCGAAGGGAGATACCGTAACCACACGACTCCACGCGACTGCGTGGTAAGAGAAGTTGGGGTGAAGGCATGCTCCGGTAATCTCACTTACCTCAATACCTTTTGCAGATTAGCTTTCCTTTCCTCCCTCAGGCTTTTCGACCTTCGTTGAATGCACAAGTTGATTTCGAACTTTTTGGCACGTAACATTACACGCACCCCCGTGCTGTCATTTTATATGTTGTGTGAAATCATTATATACCTAGGTGCGTGCTGGTAATAGGAACGATTATGTAAAAAATCAAGCAATTTTTAGAAGGGGCAGGATTGAATAGAATCTTTATATCATAACAGGTAAGCCAAGTCTGATACAAACCGCATACGATCAGACTAGCGCCTAACAAGGCAAGCCAATCGGGCCCACTTTAGCTATCTCCTTTGAGGGTACAGTGTTGGCCCCGTTGACTTGTTTCACTAGTGCAGACGCGACCCCGGTCAGCGGCTTACTTTCAATGGAGTGCACAAAAGCTGAGTAGACCAATAGTTGTTGGGTGCCAGTGTAGCGCCCTGGCTCCCTAACCCACAATGATCACGGATTGGAAGACAAATAAGATAGAATGAAAATGCACGTTTCTTGTATTCATCGAAAGTATGCAAACCTACATACAAAGAGAGACCGCCGAACTTGTGCTCTTCCATGTTCCCGAATATGGTCCCCCGGAAAATTGAGAAGACCTTACTGCGTCTTACTCTTGTTCAAGCCCGTCTAAAAAGCTAGCTTCTGCCGTGTATTTCGTGGATTCAGAGGGTCGTATTCAAGGGGCATGGGTCCAAAAGATTTCTTCTACTCAACCCAAATTGAAATCAAGCACACCCACGGCATCCAATTGAGACATTACACATTCGAGGAAAGAATGGATTTCGATGATGTGTTCCAATCGACTACATCGGCAATCGCATTGTTCTGGTGTGGATCAGCCCTTACTTTCTAGGTCATGTCAGTCAGGACACAGAGATTGAAAGAGCCACTCATTTATAGCCAGTTGATCATCGGCGTCTTCATTCTCTGTGGATCATTGGTTTCCATTTTACTTGCAGCTCCGCAAATGAAGCTGATCAGCAGTAAGCGAATCTGTTCTGCTCGATGTCTTCCTATGATTATGATGCTTCGCCAAGCATGTCGAGGCACATTTTACAGCCATTAACCCGCAGCGTGCTGCTTTCACTCATTCTCAACAAGGTAAGCTTTATGAGATATGGAACAAGAGGCATGGTAATGACTATTTGCAGTACCTAAGTGTGTCAACTTTGCAAAGCCTTCCGGTCCACTTGCTATTTGCTTCGTTCTTTTTTGGAGTAGTTCTTATCTTGCCGCTATCGATTTATTATGTGGTCAGTTCAAACTCAATATTGACTCTACACTTTGAGGTTCCACATATTAATAAAAGATACAGGGGCGCCGCGACATTCTATTTTCTCTATTCATGGTCTTTGCATTGGCTAAGCTAAGCTTCATCTATTACCAGATCATTAGAGCTTGGTTCGCTTGCATGAGACCCTTGCATATACATGAAACGATTTTAAGATCATTGTGGCATTACCTTAGCCTCATGGACGGCAAGCATCGGCGCTCCTTATGGGTGGCATCTGTTGTCTCGGCACGGACATTTCTTGTGTTGCTATGTTTATCAGTCTTGGATTCTATACAAACTAACTTACAGCCCCAAAAAATGACGGTGAGTATTCAATCCTCATATCCATTGTACGCTACTAACTCCCCATAGCTTCAGATTGCGATTATCAACCTGAGAATGGTGGTCGTTACTGTTCACATTTTGCGGTTTCCGGACGATATAGATGTCATAATATTGCCCGAGAATCTTTGATTGCTCAAAATAAAGTAGACCCGGCTACCCTAGAATATGGCCAAAGGTCTAACTTATATAAAATGGACGTCATCCATATGATCGAACCTAATGTCCTTGTTTCTGGTTTCTACTTTGTCTTATTATTCATCAAAGGCCTACTGCGTTATTAAATTGCACTGACAAACGAAGTGAGTTGTTCCGAAAATCACGTCCGTCACATTCCATGATCTTTACCTGGATTTTGTGGTCTCTTCTACCTCTTCTGGTAGTCGGGATTTTCCAGGGTATTCTTTTCGAGTCACTACTTCCTAGCGCAGGAATGCCTCGGCTATTATTTAGTCAATACCGTTCTGTTTTCGATCAAGCACAGGTCGTCCTAGGACTGAAAATGTGCCTCGTCAGAGGCGACAACAACATTCTGAATCCTATACACCAAGCCCGCATCGTAGCCCGCATCGTAGCCAGCATCGCAGCCAGGAACGCAGCCAGGAACGCAGCCAGGAACGCAGCCAGGAACGCAGCCAGGAACGCAGCCGGAAACGCAGCCGGAAACGCAGCCGGAAACGCAGCCGGAAACGCAGCCGGAAACGCAGCCGGAAACGCAGCCGGAAACGCAGCCGGAAACGCAGCCGGAAACGCAGCCGGAAACGCAGCCGGAAACGCAGCCGGAAACGCAGCCGGAAACGCAGCCGGAAACGCAGCCGGAAACGCAGCCGGAAACGCAGCCGGAAACGCAGTCAGAGATACGATCAATTAAACAAAAACGCAACAACAAATCCAGACTTGTCATGGTATGAATAAACAATCTCACAACAGGTAAGTTTCATGTGCACACAGCCCGGTATCAACAGAGTATAGCTATTGCTGATCGAACCAGACAGTCTGCATTTCACTGCTTCTTCTGCTTGGCTTGTTTCAGATGTTTGTCCCCCAAATTCTGCAGCCTACTCAGCGTCTCCTGGTATTCCTCAATCAAGTGATGACCGGAACCTCCTCCAGAGATCGTAATATTGTTTCTCTCCGCTTCCGTAGATTTGCCACAGTGGTCGGGGGTGTTGTTGGCCCCGGACGTGATCTTTGACTTTTTCTTTTGAGCTCTGGCCGAAGCTTCCTCCCATTTGCAATGCACTGTGCGGAGCTTCTGAGTCTTCGCATCGGCATCGAGCGCAGCAAACAACGTGACCCTAAGACATCAGTAAGGTCTAATTAATTGCCGGGATGTAGTTACTAACAAATGCTTGCCTGTCTTCTCGCAGCTGATGCCTGGTTATTCACAATGATCATTGTCTCATGGCTATGCATAGGGATACTGGCTTACTTACTTAACAAGCCAGACCATACCAATCAGAGGGTCGCGCGAAATCGCTTCCGAGATAGCTGACTGCCATGTGAAAGACATGTTTGTGCTATCCTCTCCTTCGAATTGCACTTGGTTATTCTTGAATGAACACTGGATCCTCTTCCCTTCTCCCGTAGACTTAAAGGGAACATAGCCGTTACTCCTGAAAACATGCATTTGCCCATCTTCGGCCAGAGTTGTCCACTCAATCATGAATATTTCCTTGGTATTGGCACGATGGAAGTCTTCTTTTTTTCGTACAGCGGTAGGTAACTGCACGACATGGTGGGGATATTTGCACGTAAAGAATAAGGCCCACACTTTCTTTCGTCTGGGAGGAAAAGCCGGTAGTGCCGTGTTCTTAAGACTTTCGACCACTATTCCTTGCACCCCCTACGCCGCCAATCCTGTGCCGCGTATCCAGTACGCACTATCTGTAGCCATTCCTGTGCTAATGATCACAGCTATTTTCACTGATATATCATCTTTCGTTGAAATTGTTATGTATTATGTAGTAGGAATATTCTATCCTTTAATCACCCTTGGCAGTCCTCAGATCTATTAATCTGCGCATTCTGCCCTACCTTTACCGTCACATTATTTACCAATCCTCGTCTTTCCGATATAGCGCGATTCCTATCTTTAGGCGGCCATGGCGCAGGGAATGTTCAAATGAGATCCCATAGAATCCTAGGATTTTGACCTATTAGCTGCCCTCTTCACCCAAGCGACGATCATGAATTTCACAGAAAAGAAGAAATGGACGTCATGAACGCATTGCTTTTCCTACGGGTCAGACTCCAATCTATTCACCGTGTCCATCAATTCCTTCCTGTGAACCCTGTCCATTCTGTCCGCGACTGCAGGAAGGCTAGACCGAGCGCTGGCGAAACTGGCACATTGCGCCAAATAGAGCTAAACAGGGCCTAGTGCGACGTAGAACCTGGTTCTAGTCAATTTTGTATGAATTATTAGCGTGATTGCAATCAATAGAGCCACGAATTCACTACCCAGTCTAATACTATAATATGATGGTCAGAGTACTCTTAGTAATTATGATCGGTACCAAAAACAAGATGAAAGATTCTCTATCCGCTTATAGGAGAACTCAGACCGTGCCGGCGGCTTGTTGTCACGCCTTCCCTGTTTTCAATTGTTATCACCAGCCGTGGGTGGGCAGGCGTAATTTTAAATACAATGCGGTCCACAAGTTCCCGGACACCGCGCTAACTTAGCGCGTTTTTCCAAGACGCGTTTTTCGTATCCTTTCCACTTTCTACCACTACACAACCATGGAACGGTCTTTTGGAACCGAAATCAGTGGAAATCTCTTGCCAGCAATATTGCCCCTCGTGGCGATATGGTGGCCCGGGACATCGCATGACTCGATACTTATCACGCCAAACGGACTGTTGGCCGGAGACCTGCTTAGCGCCAATCTGAGCGTCTCAGTCAGCGAGCACCCGCGTAGCCATTGATGACTTTCCTCTCTTGTCCAATTTACCCAATCCTCTAGCCTATCACAGACCAACCTCGCCATATTAGAGACTTCTTTAAGCGCCTAGAGCGATACTAACAGCGCCAGTAACAGCTACCAGCCAAGATTGACGAGGATTATCAGCCAGAGCCAAAGCCACAGGTAGAGCCACAGCCGCGCAACTTCAGGGCTCTTATAGACATCTCTGGAATAACTAGAGATATCCGTACCCAGCGTATCCTCGGTGGCTCAATACCTACCACTGGTTAGCGAATGGTATCGTGGTCTAAGAAAAAGATAACTACATCTACTACACGAATTCGCACACTTCTAGACACTCAGATATGTGTTGAGATTACATTCTATATTTTGCATTGGCCTGCGGACGCATCAAAATACCTCGAGACTCTACATTCGGCACTCCAAAGATTTTTGCCACGAACCATTCCGAGTATTAAGGAATTTATCGATAAAGGTCTCCTGCACTTGACCATGAGCTATGTTCATTTGAAAGGCAAAACAGCGACCAGTTAAAGCTTGCGACCGGGTTTTTGAAAAATTAAGAACCCCTCTTCTTGACATACCGCGACGAATGGCGCTATGATAGCAAGGACCTTCTAAAGCCTTTTCCAACTAAGGGCAGTGCTTCTCAGGTCAATGTGATTATCATGCGAAAGGAGCAATCCGATAAGCGAAGCCCCAGTGAGCCTCCTGCCTATGTGCCACTACCAATTGCTCGGGAGCTAAAGGGAACTTGTAAGTCCCGGCGGCCAAAGGCCTAGTATGTGTTATACGCCAGTTGGGAAAAGCTTTAGAAGGACTCATAAATTTTCATTCAGACTTGACTGCGTGGTATCGAGAATCTCAAGAGCTGGAGAGGAGAAAGAGAGAAGGAAGAAGAAGCTACAGTAACATCCAAAGCTCTGAGGTGGTGCGCGTTGCGCGTGTGGCACACGTGGTAGGCGTGTCCTGTCCTCCCATGTCCTGTCCTCCCTCTCATCCTGAGTCAGTCCGTGTCTATGTCCTCCTATGTTCGCAACAGAAGGTCGCCCAGGAGGTTCAAATTGAAAAAGAGTTTGAGGACCCTCAAGAGGAAGAGGATGAAGATGAGGACCTTCCATATCCAGAAGTGTTCTTTCAGCCCCCTACAAGGACGCCATCTAGCCAGCAAGTTGACCAACAAATTGACCAGGATATTGGATATGATATTGGCCATAATATAGGCCAGGAAGAGCCAATACCTCGTCGTCGCCGCCGGGTTACTTCAGATGCATCTTCGGTGATATCGCCTCCAAAAACACGTCAATGCCATCGATTGAATAAGGTTGACTATGAGCGGATGCAGGCAGTAGGGCCTACTCCACGGACCTGGGTGAGAGAGCGATAATATCGAGGAATTTAACTGATGAGATACGGCTACGGTAGGGGCAGCAGATCGATGTGTGAGAGGGATGAGGAGTGAATTGGTGTGGGGGAGAGTATCAGGGAGCTACTGGAAAACGTAGCACTGACAAAAAGGAGGGAGAAAGGGATGGTGAGATTGATTATGGTGAGGGGTGCTATCTAAACTACTGGTGGTGTGTGCCTAGGCGTGCACCACGCTGGTGTGACGCGCCTGACCACCAAGCTATCTCAACAGAGAGATTCTACCTAAGCTATGGACTTTGGTGAGTAGCAGAATCACATGCCATGCAAACAGTATAGTAGTGGAAAAACCACTCGAGTCGATTTGACTCGGTGCATGTCATGATTTTCTTGCTCGTCCCGCCGGTTTACGACACTCAGCGAGTCACCAGGGCTTCAATCCCTTTCCATAATTTGTATGCGAGTACACTTCAACGCGTCCTCGCCCTGTTAAGTCTCTTCTTTTTCTTCAGTCGAATGATTCGTCTCGCTATTCTTATTAGTCAATCAATTTTTGTATTTCGGAGTTAAACAGAATATAGCCTTCAGTTTGAACACGACATGTCCTAATTTGGACTCAATAAGTTCATCTCGGATGAGTCAAGTCTGAGACTTTAGGATGAAAAGAGGGGTAATACGGAAGAGAAGGCTAGGATATTGAGCAGCTCAACTGAATAAGAGGTGTATAAGATAGGGCTAGTAAGTTGTAAGGGTAAATAAGAGGGGTACCAAATACCATTTTGCCAGTTATTAAATTTTCGAATTCGGGGTTTTGGCCTTCTGTCCGTCGGAAGGCAGTGCGCTTGCGAAGCGAATAAGGCTGTATTGCTTGAATGGTGAGATGTATCGTAAGTTGTCCGAGCTGAGAGTATGAGCGGTACGATTGTGAGCACTAGTTATTGTATCACCCGGAGCCGTCGTGTCATTGGGTATAATGACTACCCCTGAGAAGATATCTGCGACGAAAGTTGGGCGGATGCATCTTCCTTCTGCGTAGAGTTCATGGCGTGTTCCCCTTGAAAAGTTTGAACTTGGTTCTGCAGCACAGAACCTAACTCTTCATATCTGTTAAGGCAGACTCGGCCCCATTTCCTGAAACTGATGCACATTACAAGAGGTCGAGTGACGCGAAGAGATTTTGCCTATTTTGTTTGGTCCAGATTCATACAACGGCTTAGCTCCAAGGTTTTGTCTCTTTCGACGCCGTATTTTCGCCTTAAACGTCTCCATTCCTCATCTCCCAGAAGACTTTTTGCCGCGCCTACCTTGCATTGAAGTTGCAGTAGCTGGACTTCGGATGACGTTCTCCCTGGGATAGAGGGCCCACCGTACACATAGCCTTCCGAATCGTCGTTATATTTGACATAGAATTTGATAAACACAGTTCGTAGATTCCAAATTATACATTCATATCTTTCGAAGCTGGTGATAGCACTGAGACGGTTGACGTCCAGAGTCGCTGTATGGGACCGGGCCATATTTTGTCTGTATTGGTGAGTAATCCAACCTGGGTTAATTTAGTCTTCCTTTACTCACAAATCTGTGGCAATCACCGAAGCCTGTGTTTTTGAAGTGGCGGTGTGGGGTTGAAAGAGAATGGTTCTAGTGACATGTGCGAAACAGGCTGATATAATTCATTCCTGCGTGGCCTTGTAGCCGCCTTTTGAGGATCTTGCAACTCGCTCAGGATAGAAGGGTCCGGAAGGATGAGCGTATCACCACTCACAGAAGATCGAACCGAATGCCTGGATGAGCGTGGAGATTTATCCCAAAAGACAACATCGTCTGTGGAGGAAGTCAGAGGTTGAAACAACCATGTAAGCCACGAAGGAAGTTGCGTATTAGGAAGACAAATCATTGTTGGCCATCAACGTGTCAAAATCACAATGGATGGATATAGGTATCAAGCTCGATCGACGACAACGTAGAGTGAACGTCAACTGAAGTGAAAGACCATTATAAAGGCTTTCGATACTAGCATAGAGGCAGGGACAAGGATCTCAATGACATTGCCTATTTCCAGTAAATCGAGTTCAAAAAATGGTAAGTGGCCATTATTCCGATAAGCCCTATTGATTCTCACTACTGGAAGACCTCTCTACCTCGATTCGTATCTTAATGATATCGTAGGCTAGGATCTGCTCCATGAGAAGAGAACATTGCGTTGAACTATTGCCATTGTCTGGCACGATACCTTCCAGAGGATCTCCGTAGTGATTGCAAAGCCTAGTCTGTCCTACACGGAAACCTAAGTGTTGCTTGGCATGTAAGCCACAGCAATTATTGCGGTTACTTATATGTTTGATCCTTAATTTACATCCCAGCTCGTCGCTCGAGCAACTTAAGGTGTAAGATATTGACCCGATCCACGCTTACGCAAGCCTCGGCAATGGACTGCGTTATGCCGTTTGGGGTCTCAACTTTTGGGACCAACTGTTGGAGCCGAAAACGGTATAGTGCAGCCGAATGCTGACTGCATCCTACGGTCCGTGCATGCATCCGTTTCCTTCAACACGCAAGTCTTTTGCCCAATCCCGAGTAAGCAGCTCACCCCAGATCATGATGAGTAAAAGCATTGCCGTATCCATTTTGATTGTTATGGAAGGATATGTTCAATTCCGCCCCACAAAGTCACCTGACATGTGTGACTCCCAGGCAGTACAGCTACTCCAATCTACGTCCGGAACGGACAAGAATGCTACGGAAAAGCGTTGGGAGGAGGAAACATGGTCCATTCTAAATAAGAACTACGGTTGCAAGATACAAAATGGGGATGACAGGTCACGAGACCTTGTCTAATTAGGAAAGAGCTGAGTGAGGAGGCGGATGTGCCCTGACAGGTGCCCCTATCGAAAGGCCAACGCCGTCCTCGGTGTTGGGAAGCAGAAAAGAAGAATAAAAGTCAGAAATTCCCTGGAAGGGGTGTAGGGGAGCCAGTATCATAAGGCGGCTTCAAGTCGTTGAATAAACGTTGGAGTTCTTCGCGAAATTCACCGGTAGGAATTGTTTGAAGGCACTGTTCAAGCAGCAACAGACCCTCGGTGTAGTGGATTGCATCGTGGGTAACGTTCAGGCTGCTTAGTAGAAGGCGGATACGGCATGAGACGGCGTCTGATCCGTCGGTCAACCGACCTCGGAAGTCCTGCAATGCTGCATGATCGAAGTGCCCGAGCGCGAGAGCACTAGGATATAGAAGAAGGACATGGCGTAATGCATTGATATTAAGTAGCAAGGATATGAATGGACCGGTCTTTCCAGGGTCGCGTCCGATAGCGAGGTTAATAATCCTGGCTTGGAGAGGATCTGGTCGTGTTGTACGGAGTCGTGGCGGGTTAATTGACACTCGAGTCTAAGCTGGCTCTGTGGGTAGGTTGGCGGCGTCTTGCAATCGTTGGGACTCGCGTGCGCGGCGCCTCTGATACCGACGGGTCGGGTTACCGTCGGCATCTAATGCGTCGTACCCGGTGGCCCAGTCCACGTGTTGTACCAGATCGGGGCCAGGCATGGATGTGGAGTTCCCGGGGAACGGGTTACCGTAGTCATAACCGTGGATATCGTGGAAAACTCCTGCAGGAATCATTGGTATAGCGTCTGGGATGCCTTCTGAATCATGGCAGACTCGCTCGTGCCAGCCGGGGATGCGACATAGAGTCACGAACGCAAGGTCTGTCTTTTGTTTGGATTGGTAGACCAGGACCAGTGAGCTTGGAATATCGTTAACGATAAACGTACATGGCGTTCTGTTAGAGCCGCGGCCACGTATAGCGATCTCGATGAGGTCAAGGGGTTCGGTATCGTCTGGGTATTCATCGGAGTGGAATCCTCTCATATGGAGCTCCTGGATAGAGTCTTGCTTGGAGTATACAACGGCCTCTGGTGGTGCGAGAGCGTATCCAATATGGAATACGGGCGGTCCGCTTTTTGTTTTGTGGCCGATGATATACGAGGCTGTGTTCCAGCTTCCACAGAGAACGTAGGAGGTCTTGACGATAACGAACCACGGCTTACCATTAGCCCAGATGATGGCTGGGGGATCGAGGGGGATAGGGGTTGGACGTATGTCCCCATGTTGATCGAAATCGGCTTAGAAGCGCGCACCACGATCGTGAGGAGTCATCGTGCACAAGCAGTAAAAAACACCTTGGTCCGGAAGACGAACGTTTGAGAGTCCTACGGCCGTTACGTTGTCCGACTTGGGGATTGAACAGTCCGTGCCTGATGTAAGCGAGTGCGAAGGAAGTTGAAACGTCATACCAGTGACAAAGTGCGGTTTCGTAGGTAGCCTTAGATTCTGAAGTTGATGAGAAGAGGCTTGTATGTGTTAGGGAATTAGTGATGGAGATTGAATCTGATGTGGGGGTGCTGAGGTCCATATTGATATAGAAGATGCTGAAGAAGGAAAAAAGGAGTGAGGAAGAAGTAAGTTTGAATAAGGAAAAAGAAGTGAGGAAAAAGTAAAGCAGAAGTAAGTCTGAGTTAAGCGGGAAGTCCATAAAGTGGATGGGCAAACGCGTGAAGTGGGTAATATGGGGTAGGGGATACATGAGAGCTAGGGTTCGTCAAGCAGTGCTCGTGCGCGGTATTCTTGGACGAGCTCTTCGGCACCGAGGAGGTTATCTTCGTCAAGTCATTCCAAGTGTTCGTTTCCGAGGGCCTTCCAACGGACGAGGTATTGAAGCTTCTTGTGTCCTTTACGGCCGCGCCAGCGATGGCTGACGACGGCATCAACGTCGGCGCGGTCGGTGTCATTCGGAAATCTTGGATCATATGTGGCAGGGGGTATTGCGGAGTCCATGTCAGTGTGTTGTGGCGCGCGTTCGAGGTGTTAGATGGAGACGACCGGGTGACATTTTGAGAGCTCCTTCGGGAATTGGAGCTTGTATGCGAGGCGCCCGATTCTTTCGAGGACTTTGCACTTAACGTAGCGTTGAGTCATCTTTTTTGTGACGGCGCGACTAGGGAGGACGTATCCACTATCCGTTCCTGTAGCCAGTTTAAGGTAGACTATGTCGCCTTTGGAGAAAAAGATTGGTTTATGACGGTTATCATAGTCCTTCTTCATGATCATTGCGGCGTATTTTGCGCATTCGTCAGCGTCTTGTCGCTCAGAAGCTGGGTGACCAACGAAGGCCTGGCGTAATAAGTTCCATGGCATTCGAAGATCAATGCCGTACATGAGCCTGTGAGGTGTTGTGCCAGTGGATGCGTTCGGCGAAGAGTTGAGGGAAGCCTGCATGGGCGCGAGGGCGTCAAAGAGGTCTGCGTCTTGATGAATATTCAGTTAATGTCGGAGCCAGATCTCGGCGGTTTGATTGGAACGTTCGGATTGGCCGTCAGCCTGTGGGTGATGGGTGCGGTGTAGAGTAGCTTGGTGCCGAGTGCTGTGAATATGCCTTTCCAAAAGTCTTGGACGAATCGCTTGTCTCGATCAGAAATCCAAACGACGGGTATACTCCAATCCCCTTTTTGGAAGTCATGTAGGACGGCCGTGGCCCACTCATGCGCTTTCCAGGTTTTCAGGCCTGGGGTGGAACCGATTCGCTTCGTAGCTTTGCATGTGTAGATAGCGACTGCGTCGAATCCTCTCTTGGAGCGGGGTAGGCCGGTGATAAAGTCGATGGTGAGGGTATGGAAAGGGATGGGTGGCGGGAGGATAGGTTGGAGGGAGCCGTATGGTGTATGGCGAGGGACGGCGTTCTTACGGCATTCATCGCATTGATCAATAAATTTGCGAAGCTTTTTAGCACCTTTGTGGATAACGTACCCTCTCACCTTGTGCCAAGTACGTTCGAAGCCAAGGTGACCGTCAGTATGTGCGAGGTCGAAGATTTCTGACTTCATTGAGTCAGGAATACAAAGCCAAAGCTCGCCGTTTTGCTGTTTAGAGTAGAGAAGGGCGTCCTCGGCGTCCTCGAGGACGTATGGGAGTTTGGTCTTGATTGGGTCGGGGTCACCGTCGACGGCGCGAAGCTGATCAATGACTGTCTTCCAACGTGGGTCTGTCTGGTATGCCGCGCGCAGCCGAGATTTGAAGTCATCAGACATTTGGACGACTGAGGTAAGAAAGGCGTAAGCTTGCTCAGGTACGTCCCAGGTGCGCGGGGATCCCGGCAGGTCAAGGTCCGCGATGTTGAATAGAGGCATTAGAATTGTACGAGCGGGGTTGGAGGGCGGAAAGATTGTCGGAACCTACGGCAAGCCTGCCCTTGAAAAGTCCGCTAACTTGACGGCTCAGGTTCGTATACACCTTCTATTTACCGAAAAGGCTCTAACATCCATCGCTGAAATATGGCAGGCATCCAGCTGGGGCGCTCAAAACCCTATTCTAGCCACCTGCGCGGTTGTCGGCACCACTGGTGCCGTTGTTCTCGCTGTCCCTGGTCTCGTAACAGCCCCAGTTCTATCGAGTATGGGATTCACAATAGGCGGCATCCAGGCAGGTATGTGCAATATTGCAGGAGAAATCAACAGAACCAGCTCAGTTCCCTGCGCCCCAAAGCTTGAACGACCATTCATTACGAAGTATAGGTTCTGCAGCCGCTGCCGCTCATAGTTGGATCGGAAATATTGCACCCGGGAGTGCGATGGCTGTAGGACAGAGTGCTGGTGCAGGAGGGAGTGGCCTTGTAGTTGTCAACGGGGCTGCCCAGTTGGGGGGTGCTGCGATGACTGTGGGAAGTGCTAGCCTAGCGTGGGTCAAAGCTAAACTATGAGCACACCATATCTTGGGGTTTTGTCTTAATCGAAAATGGCCTCTGGCGCTCTCCTCTTTTGCACCAATAGCACCACTCAGTTCCTGGGCCTAGGGCCCATGGTAAGGTCCCCAGGAACGGCCTTGTTATTTAGACATGGCAGCTTTATTACACTGTGGTTCAAGATCCATCATTGTTCCTGAATGTTAAAAATTTGGGCAATCAAGGAAATTGCAGTCACGAAGTGCGATCTGCCAGGGTGCTGGATAGCTTAGACATGGCTTCATATACTTTTTGAAGCGGGTCGTCGCAACCTCTCTAAATGGCTGCCCACCAGATTCTTAATCCGCCGCCCTTCTCCAAAAGTCACTATCATTTTCAATATCGTAGTCATCATCATCGTAATCATAAAGAAACTCATCATCTTCAACATCATCCCAAGATCTGTCGTCGTTCCACTCCTCTTCTTCAACCGGCTCCACCACATTTAGTATCCATCCATGACTCTCCATTTTCCTTCTGATATCAGAGCTTGGACCTTCCTCATAAACCTCGACAACTGGAGAGATGAGATTGTTTTGGAGCGCGCAGCAACCAGCGCTAATGCCTTGGCGCAAATCGTAGGGCTGTCCAAAGAATCTAGGGAGTTTTCCATTGTACTGGTGCTTTCTGAGGCTACTATGAGCGTTCTTAGATTGGTACAGTGTGACTGTATCTTTTCCAGGATATAAAGGCTGTCTTACTCCAGGCTGATGTCGTCTGCATGATCACGGAGTCCAGGAAAGTTGATACGGATACACTGAAAGTGAGATGCGTTGACAAAGCCAATAGTATCAACAAATTGGGATATAAGTTCGGATTTCCAAGTCGAGAGGGTAAGATCAAAGCGGTTGTGGCCATAGAGTAGCGACCTGGCCCCATGTAAGATTGTCGAGTTGGTGGAGAGAAGATTGGGTACCAGCTCATGATCTCCATTCCAAGGATCAATAGGCTCTACGCGCACTAGGAGATATACGTATATCTCGTCGCGGAGTTCAGCAGGAAGACTAAGGAAGCTCACTGGCATCTCTCCGATCGTGGCCCAGCAAATGTTCGATAGGATGTGTGAATATTTCAAGAAGATCATTGACGAAGTAGGGTCAGGTAACCTCAGAGTTGACGCCAATCACGTGTTAGGTTTGTGCAAATATTTTATTCATATTGAACAGAACAAGCATGATACATGTACTGTAGTATTTTAAGTCGTCCCTCGCCATCGTATCGGAATAATGCCTGAATCCAGGGCATAGGAGATGTAATCTTCTAGGTATGCCTCGTCTGGCCCGAATTTGTGGAAATAACGCGAAGACTTTCGTTTGCATCAATTTCTTGGCGACCGAGCCGGGTTCACTAGAGAAGCTGGTCTCCCAACATCGTCCGCGCTTACCCACTTGCTTCCTTAAGCAATCTCGAGATCAAACAAAATCTTGCCTATCCGAGCTGTCTAGCCTTACCTACGTCGAATCGAATGCCCTTGAGCTCCGCATAGATGAGCGATGCACGACCTCCCCACGAGGCCTATACCGAGTTTCTGACGACATATCGATCAAATATCGGGACAGGTGACAAGAATCATCGAATCCATAGTTCGGGTCTGAGAAGGGAATAGTGAGCGCGAGGTAAAGGCAGCGGTACGGTCGAATTTCCCCCAGACTCGTCCAGTAGTTGGGGAAGTCGAGCCAAGGGACGAACGATGTTCTTGGGGTAGAGTCGGTTCACTGGGTCGACCGCGTCGCCCTGAGTCGTGAAGGTCGCATCCACTTCAACTTGGATCGCTTCTAACAGAGAGTGGTGGCAGCCTGAAAGCAAAGGAGATAAGCCCTTCGAATCCTCTGAGGACAGGGTAAGGACTGTATCATTAAATCGGATACCCGGTTCGAAGTCAAGAAAAGAATCCCTTGGTGATGTTCCAGCTTTCGCAGGGAAATGGTGACTGGTGGACTATGGCTGTCGTGGAGCTCTGTGCGACTTGCCATGAACGCATCCGCCTCATCTGGGAGGTAAGGCAGTCATTTTCAAAATCGCAAAATACCTCAACGCCGTACCCCCACCCAAATGAGGCGGATGCGTTCATGGCAAGTCGTACAGCGGTCCACGACAGCCACAGTCGACTGGTCAACATTCTCCTGCGAACGCTAGAGTATTATCAAGGAATTATTTTCTTGACTTCAAATCGGGGCGTCCAGGTTGATGATGCAATCCTTAGCCGGGTCCATTTGAGCATCGAGTATGGAAATTCGACAAAAGAGTCTCGCAGAAATTCTCTTGGTGCTCGGTGTGTGGTAGGTCACCGATAGGTCGACCGAGTAAGTGCGCGACAACAGGCAGGAGTGGGAAGGTCGGGACGCTGATTGGGATCACTACTGACGCGGTGTATTGTGTCACTGGAGAAGGAGGTTGATGAGACGGTTGAGTCGTCGGAGGCCATGGATTGCACGGAGTCCTGGCGCTCGCACTCGGTCGACACACAGTGTTTAACCCATTTTGCAGAGGCGACACACATGTTGGAAATGGGAATGGACTCGGCGAAAAGGCCTTTGGCCAGCCTAACGTTGCGTCTTACCGCCTGCCATATTGTATTATCCCCCCATAAATCGAAGATCCGATCGAAATTGTCTGCCTAAGCAATGCTGAACGTCAATACAGTTCGGTAAGGGACATGCAATCAAGTGACATACGATGTCCAATCCTCGGGGCCAGATGTGCTATCAGCGTGGTACAGATCCGGATCCTGATAATGGCAGGTCAGAAGGCGGATAAGGGGATTCGTAGGGCATTGGGCTTATCGCGGACGCACAATATTGATAGTTTGAGTCTTCGCGTCGTGGTTTGGTAAATGAAAAACCGTACGGTAAATTATCATGCGGGATGATTATGATGGCTTGATTGGCTGACTGGCCAAGTGTGATGGTTATAAGCGTTATCGCCAAGACACAACCCAATGCATAATTGATTGAGCTTACCATACCAATACCACACCCTATCTCACCCCAGACTGTCCGGGTTGGGTGCGGAGAATGGACAGCATGGCCTTTCGTAGAGGCTCATCATCCTGCAGCTTATGTCTTCGGCTGCTATCTGTCTCTAGCTGGGGAACCTCTGATCGTGGGTCCTGAAAATGCAATGGTCAAGGACCGAAATTTATGCGCGATTCCACCGAGGCGACATTTTTCGCAAAGATGCCTATTCTCGCCTGCTCCTGTTAGAGAGGGAGAGGACTGCCCTTTTAAATAGCCCTGAGTCACATGGAAAGGCATGAAGAGCCGAGGTTTTCAATGAGGTTGTTCTGAACCGCAAAGTATTCTTGAACTTGGGGAGTAGGCACCTCGACTTCAGGTTAGTGGGGAACTTGTGGTTCTCCGGAAGCTGATTGGACATGTGGAGTTGGCTGTTTGAAACTGCGACCCCACGAGCCTTCGAGTTGCTTCAGATTTACTGACGTCAATGCTTGTTGCTAACTAGTTAGTTAATTAAATAGTTGATTAGAAGGCAGGTGAGTCATCAAATACTGGGAAGACCGCTTGTCAAGTATGCAAAGAGGAACATTGAAAATCCTGTTGATATTGCGTACCTAGATATATAGTCACTACTCTTCGGCGTCGGCGCTTCGTTAAGTCTCCAAAACAAGACATTCATTGTCTTCTTGGCAGCGAGTAAAAGAAATCGTATTGCACGATAACTTTGGGATGATTGTATAGGCGACACGTGGTTCAGAACACCCATCTTTAGCTATGCACGGTTGGGCGAAGAGGCTCTAGAGGCAACCCCACCCACCTTTCCTGTGTATCCTCTCTTTCATCTTAGAGATACATGCTTTTCTTGTCTCTGTGGATGGAGAGTCACTGCGTGGTTCTGCATGGCGTTTTGGTAATCCCGAACCGAAGACATCCATCCAATCAGTTTCCTTGAGTTGTCAATTTTATCACATATTCTAGTGAATGCTCCTCGCCAGTCTCACCCGTAAGGATCATCAAGATTGCTGATCAGAAGGTGCCTCTAGGATAACGCTATTACACTCTGTCGTAAGAGAAGCTCGTCAGACAATAGGGCTTCCATTGTTCAGATGTAGAATTTTTCTTCTGGGGATTGCAGTCAGAATTAATGCTGGTTGTCTCAAACAGGGAGTCAACATACATGAGGCTCTGTGCGCCTTTTGGGCGCCAACTGAAAAGCCTTTGCTGGCTAAAACTGATGCCTTTTTGGCTAGACGCAGGTAATTTTAGCATCAAGGCGCGCGCTATGCGAGTTAGAATACGTTATTATGTAACAGGTCAGGTCAAAGCGCACTATTTTGGCTCCGAGCTGTTATTTTCCTGTCTCTCCTGGATCAGCCGGAACTAGTTTCACTCAGAGCAAGCGCCATGGATAAAGCTTTTAACTAACTGCGAAGAATTGATCGTTAACGGCTAATGCAACCTTGGAAGGTAAAGATACGGGATTTGCGAGAAGGCCGGTGGAAACTAACCTCCCATGTGACGAGTTCTCTTCGCTGCAGGATCCATCACACTCTTAACGCCACCGGTGGGCAGGAGGCTCTGCATGGATTTGAGGAAATTTGTACCCCACCGTCAAGTGCTTTGTCGGCGTCTTGTAGCCGCTCGTAGTTTTTAATTTAAGTGCATATCGGGATTGGAGAGCCAGGGCAATGTTGCCTCCATAATCACAAGCAACCATGATACCCATTCTCGGCTGCTTCATTGACCTGTTGGAGAGGGAGAGGGCTGCCCTTTTAAGTAGTCATCAGTCACGTGGAAAGGCACAAAGTGCCGAGGTTTTGAATGAGGTTGTTCTGAACCGCGAACTTGAACGTATTCTTGTGCTTGGGGAGTCGGCCCGCCCCCGACTGAAGCTTAGCGGGGAACATGTGGTTCTCCCGAAGTTAATTGGACGGTTATTTGGCGGTTTGAAATTGCGACCCCACGAGCCTTCGAGTTGTTTCAGCTTTTCTGACGTCAAGCTCGTTACTAGTTACGGTCTACTGTGTAGAAGACAGGTACGTCATCAAACTCTGAGAGGACCGTTAGTAAACAAAGGGGAACATTGAACATTTACGTACCTCGACATACTGTTCTTCATCTTTTGCTCTCTCTACCTGATCGGATGAAGGGGCACTGGAGGAAGTCTCACCAAGCTTAGAGTAGTTTGACTGCATTTCATGGAAAAATGCCGCGTCCACTGCCACTCAGCTTTTGATGCTGAGTTGGATCGCCTTTCCCTTGTTCATGAAGAATACGCTGCCCTTACGGTGCCGAACGTGCGACTCGGCCAAATCCAGAAACTTTTGACCCCTCTCGATCAGGTCTTTCCTGACTTGCTCGTGATTTGGATGGTGGTGGGATGTATAGAAGGTTGCATTGATGAAACGAATCATCACACTGTTCACAAACTAAAGAAGTGTGGTATAAGGTCTCCAAGCTGTGTCCCATTCATTTCTAATTACTTCCCATCCCCCCGCATGTGCAGGGCGTGTCCAACCACATCCTTTGGGGCAACTTTCACCACGCCCAATGCCCGACCCGCTGTATCCAACCGTTGCGCAAGCTGTATAAAGGCTTGTTGATCTTGCAGGCGTATTTTCCTTGGGGATGTGAGCAGACCATGTTCGGCGTGGTAATTTCCCGCTCTGGGTAAACAATATCCAGCACTTACCTTAGGATGTAGAAATGGATAGTGAAGGAATGGTATAGCTGGTTATAGACAGGTTGATTTGATTACACATGGAGATGTATTTGGGCTTACCGATCAAGCCGTTCAGGCGATGAGAGGAAATAGTAGGCTAGGGGCAGGGAGATAAGAATCTTTTCTAACAGAAACGCTCTTAAATGGCGGGAGTGCTACCGCTTCATATATAGCATGGAATGGGAGCAGCTTTGCGGGGATAGTCATATTGCCCCCTGCTTGAGTGTCCAAGATGAGGCTCCAAGATGAGGTGAAGTCGTTTACTCGTTGACCCCTGCACACGATATTCATGAATGATACGTGGCCACGTCAGAACAATATCTGCCGGAACGATCACAATACGAGAACTATCACAGAGGGGCGTTACGAATCTACTGGCACCAAGCGCTAGCAAGGGTGCACAGAGAC